CTTTTTTAGTGCTTCATTTGTGCAGGTTTGTGCAGTTAAAATGAGCGTTTGTGCTATTATAGATTTGAGATATTACAAGTTTTTAGTTTAAGAAGATGGCATCATCATCCCCCCAGCAAGCTCCGAAATGAACCAAAATAGTCTACTTTTTTAGTGCTTCATTTGTGCAGGTTTGTGCAGTTAAAATGAGCGTTTGTGCTATTATAGTTTTTGAGATATTTTATGTTTCAATTTCAGGCGATCACATGACCTGACCTGAATTGCTTAAATCTGATCTGCGACCCAACTGTCCCCACCTTCTGCATTCCGATAGGTATTGTTTTAACATTCACTTTATGTTTGTATGTTCTTGTACATTTATTTCACCATTTCAATCAACACCAACATATAGTTATTGGATGTTATCAGTGCTGGAAGGAACACAAGGTAAACAAGTCTACAGGAAAGCTGTGATAGTTAATGTAGCTTTCTTGGGACAGCTCTTTATTTCTTTTATAAATATATTTTATGTTTTAAGCTTTAGTGTACTTGRTTTACAGTAGAGTGTTCTAACCTTTTGGCTAAATTTCTTGTTAAAATATCAGACAATCAGAACTGCACACCAATTGTGTAATGAGAACCTGAGTGAAGTTGGCCTCCCCCACCTTCTTCAAATCAGACAAAATTGGTGTCAAACGTTTGTACTACGTTTGTGCTGGTTTGTGCAGCAAAATTTTTCGTTATCACAGCACAAACTTAGTTATCACACAAAAGTCTCTGGAGCATCTTGAACACAAACAGGATTGTCTGTTTTGATGTGTAGAAGGGTCAGAGGTGGTGGTGGGGCTCTGTGACTTTTTGTAGAYCTTGGTTTAGTGCGAGAGGCTGGAAATGGAGGGTTGCATAGATTTGGACATGGTGTTTGTTTGATCTTAATCTCGCCAGTTCTTCCATGTTGTTAGTAAAATCCAGGAGGGGGCATTCCACTTGCTGTYCTGTTGGGGTCTCAGAGTCCAAGAGATCCTCTGTTTGTGATGCTGATGAATCCAGTTGTTCTTTCGGTTCTGCAGCTTGAAGCAACTCCTCTCTCTCTGGTTC